GCCTCCTGAGTCTGCTGAGTTTTTCCCTGTGGCCGTGCCGACTTCCACTTCACGACCATTGGTAGATCTCGACTAGTATTGGATTGATCCCTGTCCACCTCATCGTCTGTGACCTTTGTCAGATTTCACTGCGAAGTTGCCTTACAACTTTATGACGTGTCTACTTCCACTGCTTGAATACTGGTAGATCCTCGTGACTGGTATTGGATTGATCACTGTTGACAACATCTTCCGTGTGCTTCGTTCGATTTTTTACTGCTACGCTGCCTTATAACTTGATGATGATGCCTGCAATGGACATCGCGAAGGCAATTCTGTCCTGTTGGCAGAAAGTTGGTCTCTTACATGATGTGCAGTTTCCGACACACGAACAGCGCCTACGAAGGTTTTTGAAAATACTTTTATCTCGTCCTGCGCCCAAACATACTGGTTTGCTTGGTGGTCCATGGAATAGTCCCCGCTCTGGGTTGGGCGTATCAGAAACTTCGTGGAGAGCTGTCCTTTTGCCTGTGTTCCTAGGGACCATGGAATAGTCCCCACTCTTGGCGGTCCACGGAATAGTCCCCACTCTTGGCGGTCCACGAAATAGTCCCCGCTCTTCACGGTCCACGGAATAGTCACCGCTCTTGGCGGTCCATGGAACAGAATAGTCCCCGCTCTGGTTTTAGAGTGGAGGACCTGCTGCATCTGTTTGTTGATTCCGACCTCCTATCTACATTCTAGTCACAGTGGCACCGTGGCAAGCTGCGGGGCCATTCTCTGATTCTTTTGCACATCTTTGGTCGCGAGAAGTGATTTTGCTCGGATCGGTGTTGCTGGATCTACCTCCTCCCTCTGCATATGTCATAGAGGCTAAGCGAGCCGCCATTCTGTGCGAGTCGTGGGTTGCCGAAATGGCATTCTGTGGGGCAAGGAGATTGCCCTGCTTTGCAGGGCCTTCAACTTGAGAGTTCGGGAGGCCTTTAGGATCGCTATTCGCTGTGACTGGTATAGGAGGGCCATTTCCGCCAAATCAGTCGACAAAGGTTTTGCTTGGTTTGCGGCGCCAACTTTGTGCAGCATTGGGCTGCCTTTTCCGGTCAGTCTTGCAGTCAAGCTCCCTTTTGCCTTTACACTCAATGGCTGATTTCCGTCCAGCCTGAGGGAACCTTTGCACGCCTCCGTTACCCTTTGGGAGGCCTACGCCCCATAGAAACTGTCTACCTGAGACTTTTCCTTAGCCGGAAACGGCCAGGATCATAGTTGATATAGGAATTTGAATGTTTTTTTTTTTTTTTTTTTTTAACATATTCCAGTCTGTTAATGGGAAGCAGCACGTGCTGGGAACCAGGCCCAGCTTCCCTTATGAGATTAGTACATGAAGTTTCAGTGCCACTTGGGTCCAGGCCCTTTTCGCGGGACGAGTATGCTTTGACATGGACAGTGCCTGTTGAGGTTTGCACCTGGCTATTAACAGACTTGTTGGGATGCGCCTCTGGGCCCCCGGAGGGACAGGACAACCTGGCTGTCCTAGTTTCGGCCAGTCGTGTATATGCCTTGGGCGCTGGGCGTTGCAACGAAGAATAAAATGGAAAAAAAAAAAGGAAAAGAGAAGATACGGTGCATACATTTTGGGCGAAATATTTTCTTTTATAACGAAATAAACAAACAAACATTTCCATTGTGGGAAAACATATTATGGTCCTTGTGGCAGACATTCCTGGACCAGTTGTTTTCACTTTTTTGCAACTTTTTTTTTTCCTACGTGACCGGTAGGCCCAAAACTTCTCCATCAGAAAAGCGTTACGAGTTCCCCAGATTTTGAAGCACCAGGCGATCCGGCGGTTTAAGGAAAGAAAAGAGAAAACAACCCCTGGATGTCACAAAATTCGAAATGCTTTTTTTCTTCTCTCCTCCGCTCCCTCCGCTCCCTCCGCTCCTTTCTGCGGAATCGGATTGTCCCCTCCCTCACAACACCCTTCCAATTTCCCACCGTCTTTCCCGATCCCCCAGATCTCACCCTCCTGTGCCCCGAAGACTCTGATGTCTGCCCTTTCCCCCCATCCCCCCTCCTCACCACACACAGTCCCGACCTCCTGAGGAGTCGGTGAAAGTCCTAGCGAACAGTGGCACAGCCGTGCTTTTTCTTGTGGAGATAGTGTATAGCAAAATGAGAACACAATCTCACAGCAAAACAGGCCCCCTTGATCTCCCCTTTGTCAATTGTCACCCAGTTCAGCCTCCTAACGAGTTTGTGCCATTCTAACGACAAAACAGTCCGCCACTACTTATGTGTCTGTTTGGATCTGCATTATCATGTGGTATGGTTCATTGGGGGACCGAATTCAAAGCACGGATTTTGGTCATAGTCCTACCTTCTATTACGCGATGCATCTGTTCCCCACTACAAGTTTTTGTACGTAAGCTGCACCGATACAACAATTTGGAGACCCGGTGGTATGGTCTCATACCATCATGTGCCTCGTGTCCACACACACTTTTCACACGCTTCACACACGCACACATAGTCGTACTTTTTCGTGTGGAATTGTGAATAGCGAACATAGCACGTGCGCGCACGCACACACACACACACACACACACACACACACACACACACACACACACACACACACACACACATCATTATCATGATCAGAGAGAGGAGAGAGACCACGCTAAAGAAACAGCGACCGGACGTGACAACACACACACACACACACACACATCTGATTCATTATCATTATCAGAGGGAGGAGAGAGACTACAGTAAAGAAACAGGGAAAGGAAAAAGGAAGAATGTGAAAGAATAAAAAATATGCCAACCCTGATAGTGTCCCTCTACCTCTCTCCATCCATGATCTTCCCTCTCTCTCTCTCTCTCTCTCTCTCTCTCTCCATCCTGCTCCCCCCTCTTATTAATCAGCTGTAAACTCATCTCCCCTTCCATACCTCCACCCTCTAACTGAACCTCGGCCGAAAAGGTCACAATCAACAGTCACGCAAGACCCGAGTACTTTATGCCCTATGATCCATCATAATGAATCACCTATCGAGTTCATAGAAGAGCAGAGACATGTGAGATTTTCAGTTCATACCAGGGCTGGTCCCGGGATGGACGGGGGTATTCTACCCCAATTGGGAGGCGGTTGGACCAGCCTGGTAGGCTCCCGGTCCACCCCCGCGCATTTTGGCTGTGGGCGGGGTACCAGGCAAGAATGTGGATGGGTGGGCTTCCGCGGCCTTGCGGAGGCTGCCGCAACTGCAAAACAAAAAAACTGGGGCCAGTAGAGCCCGCATTCCAAGCGGAATGATGCGGCAGATCTTGGGCTGCACTGTGGACCGTTGCAAGGACCCCCCCCCACCCTCAGTCCGACCTCCCCCCTCGGACGTTTGCTTCATGATTTGCGCACATTGCTGTAGGTGCACTCTCCCGTGCCAAGCTGCAACATCACCCTCGTGCACTGCAGGCTATGGCCCCAAGCCGGCCATCACCGGCAGGCCCGCCGTCACCCCCAAGACCGCCGAAGAACCCATTACTGTGGGAGGAAGAGTAAGTTTGTGTGCCTTTTTCTTCTTCTTTTTCTTCACCTCCTCCTCCTCCTTTCTTCTTTTTCTTTCTTTTTTTTTCTATCGTTTTTTGACAAAAATGCTCCGGTGTATTTGTGGGGGGCTGCACGTGCTGGGTATCAGGTCCAGCGCCAATTATGAAGAATATACAAAGCTCTCCTTCGTCTTCTTCTTTCTCTTCTCCTCTCTCGCCGTTTTTCCTTTCTTTGGGGCGCAATTTTTCTCTGAGAAGCCTAACTGCCCATCAGCAAACGACCTACAGACTCCCCCATCGCCTTCCCTCCCTTCGCCCGCTTCGATTTCTTCGTTTTCTTCTTCGTCTTCTGAATCGACCTCCAGACTCCCCCATCGCCTTCCCTCCTTCTTCTTCTTCTTCTTCTTCGTCGTCGTCGTCGTCGTCGTCTGTCCGTTCGAACACGAAGTCAGTTACCTTTTCCCCACTCGCCCCTCGTCCTGACAACTCCCCCAATCCTCTCTTCTTGTTCGACTTGCTGCATCGCCCATCAACCTCCCCCTTTCCCCACCCACATCAACCTCCCCCGAACGCCCATGCTCACCCCCCATCCACCCCCCACAACCAACCTCCCCCCTCGGAAAGCCCCCACGGACAAAAAAAAAAACCCTTCATAGTTTCAAAGTGGAATCCGACAGATCTCGTAAAGTGCAGTCGAAACCCGCATTTGAAACAAAAGAAAGAAGAAAAGGGGAAAAAAAGAAAAAAATCGGACAAGTTTTGCGCTTAACGGTCTTAACCTGTTTTCCAGTTGAGCTCTTCAAGCTGACTGGCCCCGGTTGGTTGTCCGTCCGTCCGGCCCTGGTTCATGTTTCAGTAATTGATAGCAAGCTTTCCTGACTTAGTTATATACGACCAGGTGCAGTTGCACAAGGAAAGCTCAGCCATAGCAGAGCAAACTGGTCATGTGTTACAATCGAATGGCATGGAAGAGAAGGTGCGAGGCATCCAGGAGAGCTGCGAAAGGGAGACAAGGACAGGGGGGATGTTGGAATAGGGGAGGATTGGATACAGGAGATGCGATGAAAATACAAGGGAGAGGACAAAATCACAAAAGGAGGGGGAGGAGGAAGAGGATGTAGAGTATTGCCTCCACCAGAAAAAAAAAAGACGAGGACGTGGAGTAGACGCAAGTCAAGGAAGACTCAGGTGAGGTAAGACGGGTAGAGGAGTACCAACGACCCTACCATCTTCTCACCCGAAACAGAACGCCCGGTCATTGTCGCTGCATCTTGACTGAAAGCTGTGGGTGTTCTATTTGGGTGAAGACGGTAGCTTGGTTGGCACATCCATTAACTGTTAAAATGCAAATCCAGAATAAACAAAATCAGAACAATTACATGAGACCGGTCAGTTCAATGAAAACATCTCAAGGCTGTTGTTGCCATATTACAAAACAAAAAAAAAAACAAAAAAAAAGATGGCTAGAGGAAAGCAGTTATCAGGTGCAAGGGGCGGGCAGCATAACCCATCATCAACAACTCTCCAGATTTCGAAATCACACCAAGTGGTGCCAATACTCTACTTGGGCATGCCAGCTGTCGTCCGCCCATGCCTTCGGGCACGATGGGCAGGCTCCTGGTGGGCATCTCAACTGCCCAGAAACAGAGATCCCAACCATTGTGATCAGCAGGGTCAGGACAGACCACCTGCCAGCCTAAACGAGAAAGGAACAGAAAGGAACAGGGAGGCCAGCGCACAACTGGCCACTTTTCCTTTGGACAGGCCGTCAGTCATACGACAGACTCGACACCCTGCACAGCGCAGCCATTCACACTGTGCATTCACTGGGTGCACCGCCGAACTTGTCGGGTGCATGCTACAGGCAGCATAACCCGTCAACAACTCTGCAAAGCTTGAACTCTCTCACATGGAGCACTGCCAACACTCTACTTGTACAGGCTGGTGGGCCCCCCATCCTCCTGGGCAAGGGTCAGGCAGGCTGCCGGCCAGCCCAAAAAGGAAAGTTGCCAATCAGTGTGCTGGGCAGTGACTGGGCAAACCGCCACCCTACCAGAGAAAGAAACAAAACCGGTAGGCCCACGCCGCAGCACTTGAAACTATTTTCTTCGAGCAGGACCACGGTCCCGGCACATGGGAACCCGTGCGGAAGAGCTGCATCTGTGTGACAAGACTATACAGCAGCAGCGGGTCATCCGCTGATGAAGAGCGAAGAGTGCGACAATTGCCTGTGTGTGGGCGGAGGTAAGCCCTGAGTAGTGTTGTGTGTGGTGTGAGTAAGGACACTACAGCCATGCAGGGGTGGGGTCGATATCACGACTGGTATGGTTTCACTCCTGTACACCTGTCATGGATGTAGTGGTTAAGAGACTTGGCTCTTAGGGCGCCGGTTCTAATCCCTGCGTGCACGGAGGAGGTCTGAGGCCAGAAAGTAGTGATCAGGAAACCACAGTTTGTGCACAGCGGGCCCAACACGGCCATTCACACCAGGCATGGCTTCAACATACCACAGCCCCAACGTAGCAGAAGTACCGGCGCTGGCCTGAAATGCCCCACAGTTTGGCACCGGAAGCTAACCGCACTACGATTATCAGATGGCAGAAATCATCCCACCGGCAGCATACGGTTGGGGATAACATTGCACGCGATCGTCCCATCGTGGCATTTTCAATAGAACAACGTAGTTAGGCATAACCATAGACCCGCAACGCCCCTTGGGCTACCCCTTCATGCAGTAAATTGCAAGAAGAACCTTTTCAAATTATGTCTGCCAGATTGGTCACCTTCAAGCTGAATTCGATACGCACTCATACAAGTTCATCACACCGTTTTCCACGATCGAACACATGTGCATTGCGCAATAATCAATAACGACATGGTACAGCATATAGCACTTCCTCCCTTGCGAATACAGTCCTCTTGACGTTAGCATTATTATGGCACATCAAGGAGACTATCACCTCAGTCCGTCAATTCCGATTGAATGATGATCTGATTTATTTTTCCAATCTTTCTCCAGATTAGCATTTGCTCGCACTGCGCATTCAACCTAAACAGCGACGTAAGGACAGAAAACAGAAAGCAGAAACAAAAGGAGAGGAAACAGAAAGAACATAGAAGTCAAATTCCTGCGGAGTCTCGGGAAGGAGCAGCGCCCAAACGCCACATTCGTGACAAGGCTGCCAAGAGCACTGATTTGGTGAACCAGTGGTCCGGGTCCCAGTCCTGATCGCACTGTGTGGGACAAAGTGGGACAAAGCTAGCAAGGATTGTACACAACTCGATAATGCCACCTGCGTCACACAAAATTGAACAAGGTGGGGTAATCATTCTTACCATTTGCTTTTGGCACATTGTTGAAGCCTGTAAATACTTAGACACCACCATCACTTCTCTGTCCAGGGTTTTCAACAAGCGCAATCTCCTCCTCCTGCAAGGACGACTTTTCCCGCCTTGCAGGTAGCCATCCGTGAGGAATAAACCACCGACCTCCCCATGAAGATTGCTGTGAATGGACCAGTATGAGAAATACCAGCATGACACTTGGATTACCCAACAGCCAGACAACAGTCGCTGTCGAGACTTCACCGAGGGAGTTCAAGTCTCTGTAGAACGTGAACACCATCTCCGCAGCTAGAGCAAACGTGACGCCAACACTGTAAATGGGATGCAAGGCCCTCTCCGTCGAGTCCCAGAGAGCGTTCGAAACAGCTTGAGGTATTAGGAAATGGAGCTTGACAAGTATGAGGAACGAAGCGATGTGTCCATAGAGAGCAGACAAGACAACTCCGACAACGTAGAATGGCACGCACAGGAACAGAACTGGTTTCTCGATAGGCAGCGGATGCGATTTGAGTGCCGAGTGATACAGGTTGAGGCGACTTCGCCATAGCACGATGAGCATTACGGCATTCAGAGAGACGACAGTCAAAGCAAGGAAAGCTGAAATCGCAGTCGTTACCAGGAATGGAGCGCAGTGCGGACCGGAACACCTGCTCCATTGGCAATATAGTCCAGACGTGCACTCTGGCCATGCACCGGCAAGGAAGTCGCGCCAAGGCACAGTACCCTCGTAGAGTGACCCCGCCATGCGATAAACGCCGACCACGACGATGAGCAGCACCATGAAGATTGACATCCAAGGTGCACGATCGGGCCGCATATGCATGTAAAACAGCTGCCAGATTATGCATAAAAGCTCAAGGACCAGCAGAGAAGACTGTACCCATCCCGCCACATTGAGCATGAAAATTTCCTCAAAACTAGGCATGACCTTAAAGTCCACGTAAACTGGCTCGAACGAACGGCTGTCCCCCTCCGAATAGACACTCTTAATGTCACCATAAATATGGCTCATGTTGTGATTTGAGCCCAGACCAGCATGCTCAATCTTCAGCGACAGAGTCACTTTCCGATCGTCGTCCGGCTGGTCAGCAGGACGATCCGAGACTGTTCCATCATTGGCCGAGTCGTTACCCCCCGGCTCCGAGCCTTGTTCATCAGCCACATCTGTCCAGGGCTTGTCTACAGAGGCAGCCATGCAAAACTCACCAGTTTGCATGGAAAATAGACCTTCGGCGCTGATTCCAACGACATCAGCGGGCAAGAAACTGAAATTACTCATGCTGAATCGTTTCGAATCTGACATGACGATTTTCATCCTATAGGCAAGGATGCTTGGCCGGACAGGATCGGCAGTTACATCGTCAATTTCAAGAAGGGCTTGGCCTCCATTTCCTGGGATCAGTTTACTTTCAACACCCTGTTGACTCTGACTTTCAGAGGACCACCTTCCTGTGCCAAAGTCGTGAATACTCGGACAAGAACCAACATTCCTTTTCCTCGTACTGCCAATACTTGCTGGGCTATTATTCAAGATGCTACTGCACGCCTTAACAACATCGGGGTTCATCGTAAAGTTTTGTCTGCAGCGTTTCCAAACAATAGTCTCTGCCCCAGAGGTGTGACTGCCACTACTCTCATCCTTGACGCCGGTTCCCTCCCCTACCGCTATCCCAAAAACTACACTAAGAATTACCCAAGCAAGGAGAACTGATCCTGTTCCAGCCTTGAGATCCATCATGGTAATTTTCCGTTGCCCAGATCCTTACTGAAGACTCGCCATTCAAGAGCTATCTCCTCCGTTGACTAAACTCTAGCTGTGGAGAGAACTGTGTGTTGACAATCGGTGGCTCGTGGGACAATCAGCCTTTCCTCCTCCCCCTCCTCCTCTTCCTCCTTGGTCTTAAGGAATCCCAAAAATGCAGTAGATGTCTCTGCAAAGAACGGCAAGAGAAATTCTTGACCGTTTGGGTACCAATGGGACACAGGGCCAAACTGCCGAGCACAGGGTGCCAAGGCCTTGACCTAGTCTAGCCAGGACGGAACTTCTCGCATGTCGCCGTCGCACCACAGCTTCTCCGCAAAACCTGAAGCACTAACAGGGCTGCACAGCGCCCACCCAACCAATCAAGCGCCACCCCAACTGTCTGAAGCGGCTAGTCTAGCCAGGATGGCACTTTTCGCATGTCGCCATCGCGCCGCAGCTTCTCCACAAAATCTGAAGCACTCACAGCTCTGCACAGCGCCACCCCAACTGTCTGAAGCGGCTAGTCGAGCCAGGATGGCACTTCTCGCATGTTCCTGTCGCACCACAACTTCTCAGCAAAACCCGAAGCACTCACAGCTCTGCATAGCGCCCGCCCAACCAATCAAGCGCCACCCCAACTGTCTGAAGCGGCTAAAGGTCATCGTCGGCCTTCTTTCCTTACCAGAGGATTCGTTCTCCGGTTTAATGGTTGTGCTAATGACATCTGGGGCGTTCCAGCGTGGTCGTTATATCCCGTCGATGACTTGGTGGGCTTGCGCCAGCGGCGGGAAACATCAGGCATTGTACACTTCCGTGCCTCTTCCACTGAAACCACCTTTCACATCCAATAATCGAATGAACCACACAAAAGTGTAGAATGGAGAGATTGGCAAAAAACAATGTCAGCGACTAAACACTACAATAACTACACTCATGTATTACCATTGTCAACGGTGACAAATCATCATTGGACCTACCTCCGACAATTTCTAGATCGCAAACAGATTCAACTCCGTGTTTCAGAAATAGTTTAACCACCAGTCCAATGGCCCCTCGTCTATGCGTACGAGGCTGAAACCTGCAGTGCCGAGGGCCGGTAAGAGCTCGATAGGAAAGCGCTACAACCTTGATTCTTTCCAAAAGGCCCACACTATAGATTGTAGGGCGGGCAGATGCAATTTTTGGTTCGTCAATTTAGCTTCGGACGGTCTGTGGTGGTTTCACTTGCACATTTTACTCCGACACTGTTGATTCAGGACAGGAAAAAAGGAACGTTGGCGAAAGAGCAGGTAGAATCACCACTCTCATATTCTGCCATTACCGACAGTAAATTTCAAAACCTCCTCCGTGGCCGTATCCAGACAAGGCCGGAGAGATAAAGTTTCCATCTTTAGACAGAGTCTATGTTCAGAGAAAGCCAACACAACTCCCAGGATGGTGAAAGAACCATCTCTAAATGTTTGTCACAGTACTAAGCTTCTTCGCACCACCAGCAGCTGTCCCTCAGTCCCACCACTCAGATTGGGAATGCACTGCCAGGAACCAATTCACACGTCATATCTCAAAAGCATCTGTCATGGGGAAGAAGTTCTGAAGAACCCAACACATCCGTTAAATTGGAACAATACAGAGAAGATAGATTAGCATGGCCACTGCGCAAGGGCAAAAAAAAAGCCAAAAAAAACAGCACTAACGGCCTGAAGATACCATTTGTCAATCGAGTGTCTGCGTTTGCGCAGAAGATGGAAAGGGAGAAGCTGCTGTGGCAGCAAGATGTCCACATTAACCGTCGAACAAAAACGAGTGTGGATGGGCGGCACAGACGTAAACGAGCACAGACCCGCAAAGTAAGGGGGGTCATTGCTGGTAGCAAATGCTGATGGTGGCATCTACCTACCTGCCCTACGCCATATCTCAAAAGCATCCGTCATGTGGAAGAACCCAACACATCCGTACAATTGGAACGGTACAGAAAAGATTGACGAGCATGGCCACTGCGCAAGGATGAAAAAATAAACCAAAAAAAAAAAAAAAAAAAGCTCCGCACTGATGGCCTCCAGATACCATTTGTCGATGGAATGTCTGCCTTTGAGCAGAAAACGGAAGGGAGAAGCTGCTGCGGCAGCGAGGCGTCCGCATTAATCGTCGAAGAGAAGCGGGCGCAAATGGATGATATTATGATACAGATGTAAATGAGCATAGACCCGTGGCAAGCGCTGATGGTATCCCTCAATCAAACATGTTCTCAAGTGTGAAGAACATATGCTGGTTTGAGTTGGTTCAATTCAGTAGATGCTAGGTCAATTCTTGGACGACAACGCTACGCTGATTATTGATCGAGTTGTCGAACAGAAGACAGAGCAAGAGGATGCTGGAAGAAAGTGATCTGTGTGCTCAGAGAAAAAAAAGGTGGTGGTGAGATTAGAGGGCGAAGGTTATGTCAGGATTCTTGTTTATCTTCAGATTCTCTTTGTCTTCACTTGAACTGCATGATCTGCAACGTTGAATGAACAGGAATTGACTTCACACTTGTCGTGTACTCGTGCAGTGCACTGGTGAGTGTATCATGTGCACAATCGCGATGCTGGGCTCTGTGGGGTACACTGCCACTCTGTGCAGGTGGTGCGGAAACGGGGAGGGGGGGGAAGATGGAATAGGGGGCAGCATAAGGGCTTTGCTGGAGTCAGAGTGGTCTCCATTACAGCCAGATACTAGAGGAGAAGTCCTTGTATTATTACGCCCTCAAAAAAGGCACAGAGAGAGTGTGGCATACTGGGCAGCCACACGGGCCTGCAGGGCCCGACCAGTGTTCTCAGCCTAAAAGCCTGAAAACGAGGGCTTACAGGCCCTGTGTCGTTTCAGCCTAAAAAGGGCCCTCCAGGCCCTGCGTCTTTTCAGCCCGAAACGGAGGGCCATTTTCAGGCCCTCATAAGGACAGACCTGCCCTGAAACTTAGGCACCAGACCAGGGTTCTAGCACAGGCCATTTTGGGCCTGTTTTCAAGACAACCTTTGTTTGAACTTCAACGCCAGGGTCTGGCACGTTTTGGCATTGGCAAGAGCAGCCTCCTGAACGGGCCAGCACTATATAAGACTGGCCCGCCCTGCAGGCTGCAGGCAAGAGCAGCCTCCTGAACGGGCCAGCACTGTATAAGACTGGCCCGCCCTGCAGGCTGCAGGCAGTCATGAGGTAGTTCATAGGGACTTCCCAGGTACTTCACGTGGAGCGCTGCAGTAGTAGTAGTAGCGTTAGCAGTAGTCTTCAGGGCTGGGCGCTATTAGGAGCTAGAGTAGCGTTGGAGAGAGAGAGATGGTTGGCGGAGGCCTGAGAGACTTACATGTGGTGCCATAGCTCCAGCTTCATCTTCGATGTACCTGCACGCCACCTTCACAGGTTAGTACCGGACTCTGAGAGAGAGAGAGAGAGAGAGAGAGAGAGAGAGAGAGAGAGAGAGAGAGAGAGAGA